CAATGGATAAGGTAGTGGTGGTGGTGGTAGTAGAGAGATCTTCATCTCCATCTCCATCATGATCTTCATCTTCTTTGACTAGGAAACAATTTGAACAGATTACTTTCTCTTCTCTCTTTTCCGTTCTCTCTTTTTATACACACACACACACACACACACACACACACACAAACACACATATGTATGTATATAAATGAGAATTTGATTTGAACAGATAAAAAAATGTAAACATATCAGTCTCTCTCTCCTCTCTATATATATTTGTGTGTATATATATCACAGTTTAAACAAATAAAAAAAATTAAACAGATACGGGATTATAGGCTTGTGAAATTCAATATATATGAGAAATATGCTTGGTGAATTTCAATAGATAGGGAAAAATAAGCTTGAATTTCAACAGATAAGGGAAACATAATTGAATAGATAGGTTCAAAAAAATTGAACAGATATAAAAGATTTCAACAAAAAGGTTAAAGGGTAAAATTGAAAATAAAATAATCTCCAAAATAACAAAATTTACTTCTCAGCAAAATATTTTACAAATAGTGTACTTCTCACTAAAAAAAAATACTCATGCGACCTAAGGCCATACACCCTCTTTAAAATGAACTTTTCACAAATTTTCTCTAAATTATATTGATCACCCATGAGATTTGAAGATAATACGACAAGCCTCACATTTCGCCATTGTGACACCAATTGCCCTTTTAATGAGGCTAAAAGGATCAAGGTTGATAGTGATGGTGTGAAGATATAAAGATTTAAAAAAAAATGTATAATATTCATTCCAATATAAAATAGATGATAATATTATTTTCTTATATTCATATAACTAATGAATTATTGATGAAAATAGGTCAAATGTTATGTGAATTAAAACCTTGAGAGAGTCTAATATAATTCAATCAAATTTATGGAGTTTATTATATTTTTTCCAAACCTAATGAGTGGTTAGTGTAATTTATTCTAAATAAAAAATATAGGGTAAATTACATTGACACCCATTGAGATTTGGTCTAATTACTACCCATCCCCTGATGTTTTGAAAATTACGTTCCCACCCTTGTGGTTAATATTCTCATTTCACAAACCCCCTTGTTTATATAAAAGGTAACAACTCCTAGTAGAAAAACAGAGAAAATTACATTTACAAAAGAAGTAAAGGAAAAGGGCAAAAAATAGAGAGTAAAGCAAAGTAAAAAAAGAGAGAGTGCATGAGTTCAATGTTTTCATTCCGTCTAAATAATTACAATGACAGGGGATTAGTGTAATTTCCCAAACGTCAGGGGGTGATATGTATTAAACCCAAATCTCAGGGGTTGTAGGTGTAATTTATCCAAAAATATACATACCTTTTTATTTTTAAAAGAAAAAACAAAAATAAAAGTGACATGTATATGTTGTACAAATAAAATTGACTCAATAAAATTAATGCTATAAGTTATAAAACAGCTGGAGATCATCATATAATACAATGTAAAATCTTGATGAAGTAAAAAATTAATAAGTAATTCTCATAAAATTATGGGATTATTCCATTACATATTTTATAAATATACACATAAACTATAGAGGTATTATTCTAGTTTTGAAGACCTGGGGGAACCCCGGTATCTCAATGGTTCTGCCTCAGCTTGTGGCGGCACACAGATTATATAAAACAGCCTACGTCGTAAGTTTTGTAGTAAAAATTATTTAGGTAAGAAATTAATTTACAATTGAAATAGAGATCCCCACACATACATGACCCCCACAATCCTCACTCTCATCTCAACCATTCATAATGTGGGACTCATACATACATGAATGGACCCCAAATACACATCAAGGACCAAGATCAAATTGGAGTTCATGGAACCTCCAAAAAACAAATGTGTAAAATAATTTGGCCAAAACGGGGTTTAAAACAATTTGGCTAAAAAGGGTGAAGGTTGGTATTAAAGCTAAAATTCCATCTTCTTGCTAAGAATTTTGTGAGATAACACATATTTGTTTTCATCATTGGGTGTTTGGAAGAAGGCGCCAAAGTCTTAGGGCCGGTTAGAATTGGATGTCTATAGATTGTTACTTCACAGAACCTTTTTCGATTATTACAACAATCACTTCTTTCCCGATATTTTCTTTCTTCTTTTTCATTTGGGAAATTTTAATATACACGTCTTTAAAAAAGTTGTACCATGTCATTTTTTTTTAGTTAGGACCAATTTTTTTTTTCCTTTAGTTATAACATTATTTTAGTTATGTCTCACGTTGTGTTTAGTTATGATATATATATATATATTAGTTATAACTCAAAAAATTAAAATTGTACCATTTTTCTTAGTTATAAGGTGCATATGGTGCACGCTCTTCAAAGGGTACGCATCATAGTGTTTCCTTTTTCATTTTCTAGAAATGGAGAGCTCTCTTTGTGAGATGGTTGTGGAAGAAGATAATGATGATGATGAGTTGTGTGTGTGGGTGTATGTTTGCAAATGATGGATTTGTATGTAAAATAATTTGAGAATGAATATTTCAAATAGATAATGGATCATCTGTATGTGTGGGTGTGTGTTCCCTCTTCTTTGACTTGGAAAACAATTTGAACAGATCACTTTCTCTTCTCTCTTTTCCGTTCTCTCTTTTTATACACACACACACACACACACACACACACACACATATGTATGTATATAAATGAGAATTTGATTTGAACAGATAAAAAAATGTAAACATATCAGTCTCTCTCTCCTCCCTACATATATTTGTGTGTATATATATCACAATTTAAACAAATAAAAAAAATTAAACAGATACGGGAAAAATAGGCTTGTGAAATTCAATATATATGGGAAATATGCTTGGTGAATTTCAACAGATAGGGAGAAATAAGCTTGAATTTCAACAGATAAGGGAAAAATAATTGAATAGATATGTTCAAAAAAATTGAACAGATAAAAAAGTTTCAACAGAAAGGTTAAAGGGTAAAATTGAAAATAAAATGCTCTCCAAAATAAAAAAATTTACTTCTCACCAAAATATTCTACAAATAGTGTACTTCTCACTAAAAACAAACACTCATGGGATCTAACGCCTACACCCTCTTTAAAATGAACTTTTCACAAATTTTCTCTAAATTATATTGATCTCCCATGAGAATTGAAGATAATACGGCAAGCCTCACATTTCGCCATTGTGACACCAATTGCCCTTTTAATGAGGCTAAAAGGATCAAGGTTGATAGTGACGGCGTGAAGATATAAAGATTAAAAAAAAAATGTATAATATTCATTCCAATATAAAATAGATGATAATATTATTTTTTTATATTCATATAACTAATGAATTATTGATGAAAATAGGTCAAATGTTATGTGAATTAAAATCTTAAGAGAGTCTAATATAATTCAATCAAATTTATGGAGTTTATTATATTTTTTCCAAACCTAATTAATGAGTGGTTAGTGTAATTTATTCTAAATAAAAAATATAGGGTAAATTACATTGACACCCATTGAGATGGTCCAATTACTATCCATCCCCTGATGTTTTGGAAATTACGTTCCCACCCTTTTGGTTAATATTCTCATTTCACAAACCCCATTGTTTATATGAAAGGTAACAACTCCTAGTAGAAAAACAGAAAAAATTACATTTACAAAGAAGTAAAGGAAAAGGGCAGAAAAATAGAAAGTAAAACAAAGTAAAAGAAGAGAGAGTGCATGAGTTCAATGTCTTCATTCCGTCTAAATAATTACAATGACAGGGGATTAGTGTAATTTTCCAAACGTCAAAAGGGTGATATGTATTAAACCCAAATCTTAGGGGTTGTAAGTGTAATTTATCCAAAAATATACATACCTTTTTATTTTTAAAAGAAAAAACAAATAAAAGCGACATGTATATGTTGTACAAATAAAATTGACTCAATAAAATTAATGCTATAAGTTATAAAACAGCTGGAGATCATCATATTATACACTGTAAAATCTTGATGAAGTAAAAAATTAATAAGTAATTCTCATAAAATTATGGGATCATTCCATTACATATTTTATAAATATACACATAAACTATAGAGGTATTATTCTAGTTTTGAAGAACTGGGGGGAACCCCGGTATCTCAATGGTTCTGCCTCGGCTTGTGGCGGCACACCAATGATATAAAACAGCCTACGTCGTAAGTTTTGTAGTAAAAATTATTTAGGTAAGAAATTAATTTACAATTGAAATAGAGATCCCCACACATACATGACCCCTACAATCCTCACTCTCATCTCAACCATTCATAATGTGGGACTCATACATACATGAATGGACCCCAAACACACATCAAGGACCAAGATCAAATTGGAGGTCATAGAACCTCCAAAAAAGAGGGTCCCAAACATTTATTATTAATTTAATAGAATAACTATAAATATATAAATAAATTGTATTTTGTTTTTTAAAACGGATAATTTAAATTTGGGCAAATTACATATTCCTCCCTCAAGGTTTGCCTAAATTACAGATACTCTCTTGAGGTTTCGGAAATTACATCCCGCCCTCTGAGATTTATATTTTCATAACAAATTGCCCCTTGAGGTTTATATTGTCATAACAAATTACCCCATAATTTGTTATGTAAATATAACTTTCAGGGGGAATTTGTAATTTTTCAAACCTTAGAAGGTATCTGTAATTTAGCTAAATCTCGAAGGAGTATATGTAATTTTCCCTTTAAATTTACATTATATTTGTTATTTATTTTATAAAAAAAAAATTGTTCTTATATCTATAATTGTCAAATAAATCTAATTTCTTTTTGCAAGGATTACTTTTATAGTGAAACTTATAAAATATATAATTTGTATAAAATAAATAATTTGAATGATTAGTGTCGATTTAGATTGGTGGCCACAAGAATGTAAAGTGACAAAAGTATGAAAGAGAGTTTATCTCGTAAAATCAAATGAATACAGTGCGGCGATGCAGTCAGGGGACCCACATGTGATACATTGCCTGTTATATAAATGTTGTTCAGTTTCCGATGAAGCTCAACATATAAATAAAGAGAGATGATTTCAGTTATGGATGCTGTGATCTCAAATGACTCGAAATCGAGATCATCAACGCAAGTGATCAGAACGAGGTTTTTGGAAACAATCTTGATAATTTCTTTCTTATTCGCCGCAATTCTCTTAGTCATTCCTTACCAATACAAAAATGGCAACCCTGTTCCCACCGTGATATTCAACGGCATCCCCTCTTCCGGGTTTCATGCATTTGTTGTATCACTCTTGTATGCCTTCACCGGCGCCCTCACAGCTTTGTTAATTCATGACACCGCCGCCGGCTCATTTCTTGCTAGATTTTGTGAGCTTGTTTCAATCCTTTGTATGACATCGGCTGTGTCTTTGTTGGTTTGGTCCCTCTTCACTCTCAGTTTTCCAAAGCCTTGTATGGGATTGGGAAGAATGTAATAGAGGTGATAATTTACTTTTCTTCTTTTTCCTATACCTTTTGACATTTTTTCAATTGACACGAATTTGATCTGAATTTATAATTTTCTGTCAATTAATTTGTTTCAATTAAATCCAACTAATAACATCTGCTAGTATTTTATGAAAACTGTGCACGTGACTGACTCGTATCATGCTTTTAAGATGAAATTATTTCTATTATTAATTTGACTAAATTGATATAAAATTTTAAAATTAATGATCAAAAATCAACTAATTAAAAGTGGAGATCAAAATAATATAAGAAACAAAATATAGGGATTAGCAATTTTTAATTTTTGTTTGTTTGTTTGCTTATTTTTTATTATTATTATTATCTTATTTTTTTTGCAATTATTTTTTTAGCAACTCTTCGCCCAAAACAAAAATCGAAAATTTAGGGTTGGTTTGGCAAGGGCTCAATGGGCTTTTTTGGCTCAATGAGCCATAAAAGACAGAATAGGCTCATGAGCCACAACAGACAAAACATCCCATCCAACCTCATAATCATTACACTCTGCTCTCACAAAAAAATCAAAAAAGCCAAAAAGCCAAAAGCCCTTCCCAAACTAAACTTTTGAGCCCACGGTCATATAGTCAAAAAAGTCAAAAAACTAAAAAGCCAACCCACTTCCCAAACGGAAGCTAATATCAACGGCTTATATTTGCAACCATGACGGCTCGTCCTTCCCTCCCCTTTGCAACTTCTCCCATCTTGTTTATGAGGGTTTTTTTTTATTTTTTAATTTTTCGATTAAAAGTTTGCAATCAATGCCTTGCCAAATTAGAAACGTTTGTCATTTGTTGGTGATATGTTGTCATCATTATACGGAATGTATATACATCCTTGAGGCTAGTTTGTTTGAGTGAGTGGATTATTAATATGGTGAAATTGAATAACTTGAGTGAGGAATTATTAAATTTATGGAATTACTCAAAAATCCTTATTATATAGAAGGTGTCTGTTGTTTTGTAAACTAAGGAACAAAATAATTTTTTCACCTCCAATCTCATTGAATTAGATTTCAATGCTACCTCTCTCATGGGATTACTAATTCCCTCCTTAAAGGAGTTTCATAATCCCATGAAACTCTTAATCTTATAACAAATTTTCGAAACAAACAGGGCCTGAGAGCTGTATGTGGGGCTCTTTGAATAAATAGTTCTTCTTCCTTTTTTTTTTTTTTCTCTTTTTTGTGTGTTATAAAATGCTTCTTTATCATGAAAATCATTGTTAATAAAATTTATTGAACAGAGTATGGAGATCTGGTGATTAACTGTGCAAGTCTCATAATTCAAATCATTTCAATTTCTTCATGTTGTGTTCTTGTAAAGAGATGCAAAAATTCTTTCTGTATTTCATTTTCTTCTTTTTCTTTTACTTTTTCTTTTCATTCTTCTTCTTCTTTTTCTTTAGTTGAGAAATAATAAGTTGAATGAATTGAGGGGTACAAAAAAGAAAGAAAGAAAGAGAGGTTGAGGAAAGGGAGAGATCATTCTTTTACAAGTCTGGGTAGATAAAAGTTGTAACTACAATTATTTTGAGTGTGTTTTACATCTTACAAATCTTAAATATACTTTAAATATTTTAGGTAAATTATATTAAATTTTCTTAAACTCTAACTTATTTGCATTTTGTTCTCTCTTATTTCAAAACTCAACCCTTTAAGGTATTAACTTGTGATATTCAATACTTTCCATTAAGATTTTGTTAGAAATTTAAACGAAATAATATTATAAGTGAAGTACATGACGTCGTTATTAATTTCTTAGGACAATTATATTCTTATCTTGTGATCTCATTTGCACTTTACCTCCCTTATTTTAGTGACAAAGTACAAACGGACTCACCAAATAAGAACATTATTATTGTGAAAATTTAATAAGTATTTCATATGGTTTACACGTGATTTAATTTTGTATAAATCCCTAACATAATTCTAACAGAAGAGATTATTTGTAAGAAGGTAATATTTCAAGATGATTAATTGTTGAGTTTTGAAATTAAGAGAGAAAAGTGCGAATGAATTAGGAGATTTATTGTAATTTATCTAGGGGTGCTCGCGGTTCAGTTTTGAACAAATTGGTTTGCGATTTAGACCTGCCCTCATATGTGTGGTTTGGAAAAAATTGAACTCACAACCGTTCGAACTACGACTGCAGTTTGTGCAAATAGGGTTCGTGGATGTGTGGGCGATTGCAGATAGGGTTCAAATTCAAAATTTTCAAAAATTCAATATTCTATTTCCAAGATAAATAAAGTGTTGAAAATGATAACATTTCTTTTACCCCAGCATAATCAACGTGGGTAGGGTTGGGTGTAGGGTTACCTGAACCGCCCAATCTGTCCAATCCGAACCGATCTGCATACAAATGGGTAATTTCACAAACATAATGTAAGCAAATGTGGTTTGGAATATGACATTATTGTGGGTTGCAAGTTTTACCCGCACTGGCAAGAACCTGCCCGCACTTAGACTTTATTTTTTTTAAAAAAAAAAAAAACCCAAACTGTTGATTTCATTCATCGTATCCTAGATATACTTAACACATTTTCTTACTATATTGAGATGCAATATAGTAAGCAAATGTGAGATCAAGACTGGACCTGTCCAGTTCGGCCCATGAGATCTAATTTCACAAACATAATGTAAGCAAATGTGGTTTGGAATATGACATTATTGTGGGTTGCAAGTTTAACCCGCACTGGCAAGAACCTGCCCGCACTTAGACTTTATTTTAAAAAAAGAAAAAAAAAAAAAAAAAAACCTAAACTGTTGATTTCATTCATCCTATCCTAGATATACTCAACACATTTTCTTACTATATTGAGATGCAATATATACACATTTGTTTATCTTTTCATTACTTTATTCTTTTATAGTTTTTTGGTCGAAGGAATTATGAGATCGAAGATTAAATTATATATTTTTTATTTTATATTATTTTTTTGTGTAGGGTTCATCAAACATATGCATGGAATTGGAATTTTTGAAAGTTGGATGTGATTGATGATAGAGTTTGCAAGTTTGCAAATGTTTTTATTTTATTTAATGAGTTTGAATTGGATGAAATTTGACAGCAATTTATTGTTATTTTATTATTGCATTTTGGATGAATGTAAAAGTTAATGAAGAATTATTTTTAGGTAAATTTAGGATTTTGAATGATTTTATTTTAATTGTATTGTTGGATAGTGAATGATTTTGATGATTTAGTTTAGGATTTTGAAAGATGTGTTTGTGTTAGTTTACGATTTTATTTAAAATTTTGGGATTTTGAATAATTTGATTATGTTAGAAATTGATTTTTTTGTGTTTTTAATTTTATAAGTTTTAATTCATTAATTATTAATGTTGAGCATTTTAGAAAATGGGGGGAAAAGGGCGAAAATAAATATTTACAAAACGGAAAAAAAAAATTTAAAGAAAAAAGTCTAGTCTGCAAACCGCCAGCACATCCGCGAACCCTATCCGCACAAACTATAATCCGCACTATGGGCAATTGCGGATTCAATTTTTTCTAAAGGGTCCAGCTTATCTCAATTTGAGATCAAGACTGGACCCGTCCAGTTCGGCCCATGGGGTTCATTTTTTGGGTTTTGTTAATCCGAACCGTTCAGTGTGTAGAAATCATCGAGTACTACATGCCTATAGAAAATTACGTTGATCGGATATCAATAATCAGTTTTGTATAAAAAAAATGGACGGTGAAAAAATTAACGGTTGATAAAAAACTGTTTTGTTCACATAGCTATCGATATCCGATCAACGTGATTTTTTACAGGCATATAGTACTCGACGAGTTTTACACATTGAGCGGTTCGAATTATCAAAACGGGACCCGTGATGGACTTCCACGAGCCCAACAGCACGGTCCAGTCTGATCTTAGACTGGACCAAAGCCACTGCCTTTTCTAAACTACACATATGTGGGCGAGTCCAAATCACAAATCAAACCGTCTAAAATCGAATCGTGAGCACGCCTAAGCGTGAGTGGCTCCTAAAGAAGATTCCTTGCTTGGGAATATGGTTTGTGACCCGGTAAAGTAAGTTGCAAAGTTGAAGGGAGAATCAGTATAAAATAATTACAACATATACAGTGAGGCGGCGCAGTCAGGGGACCCACATTGCCTGTTATATAAATGTTGTTCAGTTTCCGATTGAAGCTCAATATACAAATAAAGTGAGATGATTTCAGTTTATGGATGCTGTGATCTCAAATGACTCGAAATCGGGATCATCAACACAAGTGATCAGAACGAGGTTTTTGAAAATAATCTTGATAACTTGTTTCTTATTCGCCAAAATTCTCTTAGTCATTCCTTACCAATACAAAAATGGCAACCCTGTTCCCACCGTGATATTCAACGGCATCCCCTCTTCTGGGTTTCATGCATTTGTTGTATCACTCTTGTATGCCTTCACCGGCGCCCTCACAGCTTTGTTAATTCATGACACCGCCGCCGGCTCATTTCTTGCTAGATTTTGTGAGCTTGTTTCAATCCTTTGTATGACATCGGCTGTGTCTTTGTTGGTTTGGTCCCTCTTCACTCTCAGTTTTAAAAAGCCATGTATGGGATTGGGAAGAATGTAATAGAGTTGATAATTTACTTTTCTTATTTTTCCTATACCTTTTGACATTTTTTCAATTGACTCGAATTTGCTCTGAATTTATAATTTTGTGTCAATTAATTTGTTTCAATTAAATCCAACTAATAACATCTGTTAGTGTTTTATGAAAACTGTGTACGTGACTAACTCGTATCGTGTTTTTAAGATAAAATTATTTCTATTATTAATTTGACTAAATTGATGCAAAATTTTAAATTTAATGATCAAAATTCAACTAATTAAAATTGGAGATCAAAATAATATAGGAAACAAAATATAGGGATTAGCAATTTTTAATTTTTGTTTGTTTGTTTGCTTATTTATTATTATTATAATTTTTTTTTTTTTTGCAATTATTTTTTTAGCAACTCTTCGCCCAAAACAGAAATCTAAGGGTTTATATTTGCAACCATTGCGGCTCGTCCTTCCCTTCCCTTTGCAACTTCTACTTCTACCATCTTGTTTATGAGGTTTGTTTGTTTGTTTGTTTGTTTTTTTTTTTTTTTAATTTTTCAATTAAAAGTTTGCAATCAATGCCTTGCCAAATTAGAAACGTTGTCATTTGTTGGTGATATGTTGTCATCATTATACGGAATGCATATACATCCTTGAGGCTAGTTTGTTTGAGTGAGTGGATTATTAATATGGTGAAATTGAATAGCTTGAGTGAGGAATTATTAAATTTATGGAATTACTTAAAAATCCTTATTATATAGAAGGTGCCTGTTGTTTTGTAAACTGAGGAACAAAATAATTTTTTCACCTCCAATCTCATTGAATTATATTTCAATACCACCTCTCCCATGGGATTACTAATTCCCTCTTTAAAGGAGTTTCATGATCCCATGAAACTCTTAATCTTATAACAAATTTTCAAAACAAACATGGCCAGAGAGCTGTATGTGGAGCTCCTTGAATAAATAATTCTTCTTCCTTTTTTTTTTTTCTTTCTTTTTTGTGTGTGTTATAAAATGCTTCTTTATCATGAAAATCATCTGTTAATAAAATTTATTGAACAGAGTACGGAGATCTGGTGATTAACTGTGCAAGTCCCATAATTCAAATCATTTCAATTTCTTCATGTTGTGTTATTGTAAAGAGATGCAAAAATTCTTTCTGTATTTCATTTTCTTCTTTCTCTTTTACTTTTTCTTTTCATTCTTCTTCATTTTCTTAAACTATAACTTATTTGCATTTTGTTCTCTCTTGTTTCAAAACTGAACGGTTTAAGATATTAACTTGTTATACTCAATACTTTCCATTAAGATTTTGTTAGAAATTTAAACGAAATCATATTATAAGTGAAGTACATGACATAGTTATTAAGTTCTTAGGACAATTATACTCTTATCTGGTGATCTCATTTGCACTTTACCTCCCTTATTTTAGTGGCAAAGTACAAACGGACTCACCAGATAAAAACATTATTGTTGTGAAAATTTAATAAGTATTTCATATGGTTTACACATGACTTAATTTTATATAAATCCCTAACATAATTCTAACAGAAGAGATTATTTGCAAGAAGGTAATATTTCAAGATGATTAATTGTTGAGTTTTGAAATTAAGAGAGAAAAGTGAGAATGAATTAGGAGATTTATTGTAATTTATCTAGGGGCGCTCACGATTCAGTTTTGAACAGATTGGTTTGCGGTTTCACTTCAAGAAAAAGCAGAATTGGTGACTAAAAAATCCCATTTCATCGCTGAAAGTAGCATTTTCGGCGACTAAAATGGAATTAGTAGCCAAAAGTAAAGACTTTTGGCGACTAAAACAATTTAGTAGCCAAATGTATACGTATTGGCGACTAAAAATCAGTTTGGTCGCCGATTACATGGGTTTTAGCGACTAAAAAAATTTTAGTAGCCAAAAGTATAGGTTTTGGTGACTAAAAAATAGTTTGGTCGCCGATTATATGTGTTTTACCGACAAAAATAAATTTTGTAGCGAAAAGTGAAGCTTTTTGGCTACTAAAAAAAATTTAGTAGCTAAAAGTCTACAATTGGCGACTAAAATTCAGTTTAGTCGCCAAAAGTGGAGGTTTTTGGCAACTAAAAATAAGTTTAGTCGCCAAAAGTGGTTATTTTTAGGCGGGAATTAATTTTTTTAGCGACTAAAAAATAATTAGTAGCCAAAAGTATAGAATTGGCAACTAAAAAATAGATTTAGTCGCCAAAAGTGGTCTTCTTTTTTTTTAGTAAATAATTTATTTTTTACATAAATTATATTGAATAAAAATAATTATGTTTATCTATATAGTTTTATATTAATACGGGTCAATATACTATATAAATAATATATGTTGCATATATAATCATGTGGTGATGTAGAGGCATAGTGGAGATAGTGTGTCGCTTAAGGTTTAGAATGTGGGAGGTTGGTGGTTCGAATCTCAGCAGAAGAAAAGTTAGTATTTTCTTTTTTCACGGAACGACTTTTGGCGACTAAAATTATTGGTCGCCAAAAGTGCTGCTTTTGGTGACTAAAAGGTTTGGTCAGCGATTCCTAGACTATTGGCGACTAAAAGATTAGTCGGTAAATGTATAATTTTAAAAAGTGTAATTGATTATTGGCGACCAAAATTTTGGTCGCTAAAGACTTGTTTTTTGCCGACTAAAACTTTTTTAGTCGCTAATACCTTCCCTGATCGTGTTTTCGCGACAAAACCGGCGACTAAAAAATTTAGTCGGGGAAACTAAAAAGTCGACTTTTGGCGACTAAAAATGGACTAAAAATTTAGTCGCCAAAGGTGCTTTTTCTTGTAGTGTTTAGACCTACCTTCATATGTGCGGTTTAGGAAAAATTGAACCCACAATCGTCCGAACTGCGGGTTGCGATTTGTGCGAATAGAGTTCGTAGATGTGTAAGCGATTGCAGATAGGGTTCAAATTCAAAAATTCCAAAAATTCAATATTTTATTTCCAAGATAAATAAACTGTTGAAAATGATAAAATTTCTTTTACCCCAGCATGATCAACGTGGGTAAGGCTGGGTATAGGGTTACCCGAACCGTCCAACCTGAATCGATCTGCATACAAATGGGCAATTTCACAGACATAATGCTAGCGAATGTGGTTTGGAATATGACATTATTGTGGGTTGCAAGTTTTACCCGCACCGACAAGAACCTGCCCGCACTTAGACTTTTTTTTTTTTGAAAAGGAAAAAAAAAACTAAACTTTTGATTTCATTCATCTTATCCTAGATATACTCAACACATTTTCTTACTATATTGAGATGCAATAGATACACATTTGTTCATCTTTTCATTACTTTATTCTTTTATAGTTTTTTGGTCAAAGGAATTATGAGATCGAAGATTAAATTATATATTTTTTAGTTTTTTTTTTTTTTTTTTTTTTTTTTTTTTTGTGTGTGTGTGTGCGTGTGTGTGTGTGTAGGGTTCATCAAACATATGCATGGAATTGGAATTTTTTAAAGTTGGATGTAATTGATGATGAAGTTTGCGAGTTTGCAAATGTTTTTATTTTATTTAATGAGTTTGAATTGAATGAAATTTGACAACAATTTATTGTTATTTTATTATTGCATTTTGGATGAATGT